AGTTATGACTCATCGCGATGCCCCCCACACTCTGGCCCTGGGACGCCAAAGGCCTGGATTGGTATTTGCCTGTTTGGATCAAGACACCCATTACCTTCTCCCACAACCCTATCAAACCCTTACTTTAAAAAAAACTTTCTGAAGCCCAGGAGCACCATTGGGAAGCGCTTGGGGCAGGGCTAAGGGTGAAGGGTGACCCTGAAGCAGGAACTCCCCTCCCACCCGACAACTAAACAGCTGGGACTCTTGCAGGCAGAAAGCTTTACAGATGTCAGAACTCGGGTTGGAGTGAGATGGGCGAGGGAGGGAGGGAGCGCCAAGATTTAGAGTCAGAAACCCCCCAGACGGCCCCCCTCATCCCTACCCCAGTGCAAGGGGAGAGTTGGAAAGGAGAGTGTCGCCAGAGCAGGTGGGGCCCAGCAGCAGGCCCAGCGGAGGCTGGAGATGAGCCCACGAGGGTGGGGTGACCGGTCCCGCCCGCGCACAGCCAGCCACGCCGGGGGAGACCTCACCTTGTCGATGAAGGAGGCAAACTTGTTGTTGAGGGTCTTGATCTGCTCCTTCTCCTGGGTGCGCACGGCCTGGATGGTGGGGTCCACCTCCAGCTTGAGGGGGCTCAGCAGGCTCTGGTTCACCGTGACAGGTGTGATGCCCCCCATCCCTGGGGCCACACCGTAACCTCCAGCCAGGCTGGTGCCCAGGCCGCCCCGGAAGCTGCTGCTGCTGCTGCCCACCCGGGAGAAGGCTGAGGAGCTGATGCGAGAGCCCGGCCCGCTGGTGTAGGAGCGGCTGCTGAAGGACCGCGGGCCAGAGCTGGACACCTTGTAGGACTTCTGGGTCACCCGGATGGACATGGTGGAGACTGGAAAGGAGCCGAGGAGGCCGAAGCAGGCAGAGATTCGGAGTCGAGAAGAGGCTTCTCGGTGAGGGACAGCTCCTCGAATGGCCTTTTATAAAAGAGAGCCCAGCCCAGGAGGAGGGGATTGGCCTTGCATCTGAGTGGCTAGGCCCTGAGGGGGCAGGGCCTAACCTGCCACCTGCCACCTACAAGCCGGTCTCAGGTGGGGGCAGCAGAGAGCTGCTCCCACCCAGGAGCCCAGGCCTGCACTACCACCCCCAACCACCAACCCCTGAACCCAGGAAAGGGCAATTCAGTGAATGTGAAAGTAGGAAGACTACCAGCCTTGCACAAGCTCCTTGTAACAAAGAGACATGCCCCAGGTCGCCCAGCCATTGCACCCGGACTCCTGGGTCCTGTCTCCTTCCCTCCGGTGGGAAACGAATGCACGGACTGGGAAGCTTAGCAAGAAAGGGGTCCCTGGCATTTGGGTCTCCTCTGAACAGCTGACACCCCAGAGACACAACCCCTTGTTCTTCGTGTTCTTCTTTCCACTTTGATTACAAGGATCTGCCCAGAGTGGAGGACAGGACACCTGGGTTCCAAGTCCTTGAACCTGAGGTCAACCATTTGCCTAATCTCTCCTCCGTTATTGCTGTACAGTGCCAAGAGGGGCTACATGAATATTTGCGGAATGAACGAATGAATGAAAGCCCGCACGTGCACGCGCGCGCACACACACTCACACAGGCACGCATGCACGCACGCACTGGCTGCCTTCCCCTCTGGGGCTATAGGTGCAGGTTAAAGTGAGATCCAACACAGCACTTTTCCTGGACGCAACCCAATGTCTTCCTCTCCTCCCAAGATCACAGGATTCCCCGGGCCAGGCTGAACACTGTGGGCCTTGCTGAAAGGCACAAAGGATGATAAATAAGGGCTAAAGAGGTGGGGGGGGTTAGGAGAGCTCAGGAGAGAGGGCAGCCGCATGGGGTCTTCATCTCATCACTCTCATTGCTGCTTGGGGAGTCCTTCCCAGAGCTCCCAGTGTGTGAATCACAGGAAGGAAGGCAGGACTGTGGGGTGAGAGGGGGATGTATGGGGGGACACGATGTGAGTCAACCTGCAGCCACCTTGGCCCTCCTTCTGTTTCTCTTCCCAGGCCCCCAGCTGGCCCGCAGAGATGGAGGAAGAGTCCCTACACCTGTCTCCCCGAATCCATTATGAGAATGAGTCAGGAGAGCAGGTTGGGGCATCGCCTTGCACCTGCAGAAGACTGGAGAATGGGGCTCTGAGTAAGGCACCCCAGGCCTGGGTGGGGCCAGCTAGGGCAGGCCGTGGGTGGAAAGCAGGAGGTTTGGGTCCCCGAGGCAGAGATTCCAGCTGCAATTACCTAATGGCTAGGGCTGGATTCTCTGATAGATCCCGCAGGGCATGAAATGGGGATTAGGTGGCTCTTAACTGGAGAGACCAACAGGTCCCCTGAGGGAGAGGGAGGGGCGGCCCCCTGGCCCCCAGCCCCCAGCCCAGGGAAGGCAGAAGTGCACCTTCTTCCCCAGCCTTTTCCAGCACAGACACCCAGGGTTCCAGAGGACAGGAAGAGACACCCCTACAAAGGGACAATGAGACCCAGAAGCCCCCATAATTCCAAAGACAGACACACAGTTAAGCTCCCTTCAGATCACAAACATACACACACACACACACACACACACACACACACACACACACACACACAACGA